TCATTCTCATTAGAACCCCCTGTTTCCTGCCTTGCCACTTCCTGCTCTCCTCCCTCTCACCCTATCCCATGCCAATTCAGACTTTTCCTGTTCCTGAAGCCCTTTCAGATGCACAAAGTGGCACTAAAAATACCATATATAACTGGTGCAGAAACTGAAAATAATCTTCCCTCAAATAAAACACCTGCTACCATTAGGCAATACAGGTTTCCAAAGAGATTCAGACCAATTCCAAAGGAAAAAGAAAATCTTCTCCCCCCCCCCACCTTAGCTGGAAGGGTAATAGCTGCACAACAGAGCAGTAACACTTCATTTTTCCTGCCTGTGTTTGTAATCAGACGCAGACACCCTACAAAACTGATTAAAATTGAAGAAAAAATTGCCATGTTTTACATAGTTTTTACATATCTTTGTTCTAAATGCTAAAGACCTGCGAGACGTTCTTCTCATCAAGAACAAACACACAGACAACAGCACAGCAGCCTTCAGTGATACAACAAAGGACAATTTAAGACAAATGACTTGGAGCAAATGCTATCACTGAATAATCCCACAGCAGCTGTCATAATTAGTTACCTCCAATCTCATCAGAATCAGGGAAGTTAGAGTTAAAATCGAGCTCCCTTCCTGTAACATTGTGTAACTCCAAAACAGCAGCATTATCCTCGCTATTTTAGAATTAACATTTCTCCATAAGATAATGTGGAACCGCTCGATTCTTCCACGCCGGAACACCCGGTGCAAGGCGAGAGATGACAAAAGAAACTCGGTCAAGTTTGAGTCTCTCAGCACCTTATTTCCTGTCTAAAGAGCCCTTTTGTTCTGCTTCCCTGCATAAATGTTAATATCCTGCCATCATTAGAGAGCGGAACGACGAAGGAAAGCCCCACGCACATGAACTCCGCTGCCCCGGAGGGCGGAACGACGCCACACGACGCGATTAGAAGGGCAAAATTCCTACCAACACGATCTCCACAATTTTCTGTTCGCTTCACCCCAGATTAACTTCACTTGGAGCTGCACTTCGGCGCAACCTACCGTGGGCACGGGGCCCGCCCTCCCGCTCCTATTGGCCGAGCCGGCAGAGGCCCGCCCCGCCGGCCGGGCCGCGCCCGCTGATTGGCGGAACGGGCTGTCCGTCAAGCAAAGAACTTTTCCTCGCTAGCAGGTTAGGCTGGGCGGGCTCGGGCACCCCGGGCGCGCGCTCTTAAAGGGGCCGTGCCCCGCTGCCGCTGTGACAAACCCGAGCCGCGGGCGGGCGCACCCCGGGACTGACGGCCGGGACGGACCCCGGGCCCCGCGGGGCTCCCACCCATCCCGGCACCTCGCTCCCGAACGGGGGGTCGGGGCTGGGAGAGAGCATAACGCCCGAGCGGGCTGGGAACGCTTCTCCCGCGGCAATTACACAACTGCCGCCTGCTCCACTTCTGGGATAAAATTAGCTGTGGGTTTGGAGCCCATCCGCGCTTTAAGGGTGACTGGAGTTACCCCGGGAGGCCGAGCACACGATATAAATTAGTAACCCTGGCTAAAAATACATCGGGTCGCTGCTTCCAAAGACTTCCACCCATTTAAAGCATGAGTCAGCAGGAGCTCCGCAGGAAGTGACTGTCTCCATCCCACAAGGTACCACGGCTTCTGCCAGAAACTTTTTGTGCTTATTCAAGCTTCACTTGGCTGAACAAATTTGCAAAATCCTGGTCACGTTATGACAGCAGCGTTTCTCACGGCACAGCTTCCTCTCAGCACTATACAAAAACCTGTCAGGTTTTAGATTAAAAGTGGTTCTTTTTTGATTAAAAGTGGTTCCTTTGTGCAGACACAACTATCCAGGGGAAAGATGAGTAAAACCAAAACAAGGCTTAACAAATATTTCACAAGTGCAGATAGGACACCTGGTTCAAGACGAACCTTGCCCCAGCCTAACAAGCAACAGGGAAGAGGCAGAACACAGTCAGTGTTCCCTCCTGCACCCACAAGTATCATCACAGTTACACAAGGACTTATCTGGGTAGCAAGGCTGCCTTACATAAAGTATTTTCACGTGTTTAGTGTAAAATATCTAAAAATACTAAGCCAGAGGAAGATAAAGCACTTGTCAGCACAAGCACATTGGGGTTGTTTTTGTCCTGTGTGAAGGCAGAGAGGAAAAACTTGTTTCTGGTTCTTGTCACCTTTCCCAGTGCTGGAACTGCCTGCCTTTCCTTCACCCACTACCATTACCACAAAACAGGGAAGTTTTAACTTCCCTAATACAGATTAATGAAGTCCAAGGCAGTCCAGCACACTGCTTTACTGCAAGTACTGCACAGCATCAGGAAAATATTTACAGCTAAGTGCTCCCTTGAGCTGTGATATACCAAAGAGAGCATAAAAAACACCTTCAGGAGGGACATTTACCTCTGCTAAAACGATGAAATTGCACATTTTGTGTTACCTGTTTTAAAGCAACCTATCATGCCAAAAATCCAAATACAACTGAAAAGCAGCAATTGGTTATAAGTTGATATGTATGAAACACTATGAGAACAGAATTAGCAATATTCACATAACTTACACACAATATCTAAAATGTAAACTGAAAGAACCAGACCTTAATCCTTGCACCTGAATTCAGTGCCCTGCTGGCAGCTGATCTGGGGTCCCCGAACATAACTCATATGTGCATGACACTTTTTTTGATCAACCCTTATCTAAGCAATCAAAACCAAGAACACAGTTCACACAAACAAAACAGACCAATGAAGTGTCCCTCAAGTATCTCAGAAATCAACCTTGGAAAGCTTCAATTCAGAGCACATTAACTTTAGGCCCATAGAAACAGCAGCACAAGTCACAAATATCAACCAAACTGCCAAGTGCTTGAAGACATGACAACCCTACAGTCAACATTGTTGCTGGGGTACTTCAAAAAGAAGAGGGGAAAAAAACCCAAATAAAATATACTATTCCAGAAGTCTCCAGCTCTGTTTGCTACCACAGCAGTCTCACCACCTGGTAATGGCAATGAAAAATAATTTTTATCATCAAACATCCCACACTTGAGCTCATGTTTCTGTCACACAGGCAACTAGCAGCTCTTATCACTACAGGGGAGATGTTCCATCCCTTTTCCTCCCCACCTCTTCCCCCCACATACGCTGCAGTCTGGCCAGCTCCTGAAACCAGCTCTGGTGCTAATCAGCCCCTTGCACCTGCCTCGAGTCTCTATGAGCAAGAGTTTGGCTTACCCAGAGCAGAAGGGGATGGCAAAGCAAACTCAGCACTGGCCTCCCAGATTTTCTTACCCCTTCTCATTTAAAACCCAAACACACCCACACCATAACTGTCCCAATAAGAAAGCCCCTAGAGTTATATGCTATCCTCTTCAATTGAAGATCCCCACATCACCTGTGGAGTATCCAAACTAGATTCATGGTTGACCCTTAGGTCACTGGACTAGAATTCACAGGTAAACATATCTGAATCTAAATATTGGGAATCCATGCATTAAAAAATTGCTATTCAAGTCATTATCCCATGCTGAAGGAAACAGTAAAGCTGGATAAAAAAAGCCTAATTTTCAGTTTCTGCAAGAAGCCATCTATTTTCCCTCTAAACACACACACATTCTGGAAAAATGTCACAGGCAAGTTTTAAGGTTCAGGCTCAAATTAAGCCTTTGCTACTATTAAAATATCTGTAGCAAAGCAGAAAAAAGGAAAACAGCAGATAGCAGCTGTAAGAACACTAAGCAAGGAAGCTTTCACAGCAGTGTTAAAAAAAAAAAATCAGTTTGCTGCCACCCAACTTTGCACTTGGACAGCAAGAGAGCACCTGACTCTCATTTGACTACAGTAATCATGCAGCAGCTAAAAGGCCATTTGTTCTGTAATCTCACACACACACAAGACAGCAACTTTGGGAGACTTGACAGCTCAAGAGATCAGGGACAGAGCCCTCCATCTGTAAGTCACCAGTTCAAACAGAGACAAGAATAGTAGTGATCAAAAGCCACATGTGATGGCTGTTCAGGGATTAGATGAAGAGACTGTTACTCAATCCAGGCCCCAGCAGATCAGTGTGAACCACAAGAGTTTTCTTCACTCTTTTGCACCTGGTTTTCAGTCCTGAATCCATCACATCTCCTGGATTCTGTACATGTTAATAGGTAGCAAAGAAACAGATCTGTTGCATACACAGACTGAACTGGCATTGGAGAAAAGGACTTTACCCTCTGGTTGTCAATGTTGTCTGCACTACAGCATGCTGAATTTTTAATTTTTTATTATTATAGTTCAGACTTTTAGCTTTTCTTATTACTACAGACAGCTTTCAAAGTAATATCTAACTTCCCATGCCTTTCACACCCTCAGATGCTGTAACCCTATTTATAAACAATAGTTCCCAAACTTGCTGTGTATTTCTGAAAATATATCAATTTTAAAAGTACATTAGCATAGGAATTTCAGAACTTTGGCATTTGAGAAGTGACTCTAAAACAATATTATAAAATTTTTTATCAAACCTAAAAAACGCCATTATTTCATGAGTGCCATGTCTACATAAAGGTAGTGGGGAAAAAATCCCTGTGTGAAGAAACAAATATTCCTTTTCATATTATGCATTCTTCAATTCATCAGTCTGCAAAGTCTGCTACCAGTAGCTTCTTTCCAGCCTGACTTTAGTTTTACTTTTGAAAGTTTGCAAAAGTACCCGGAATTTCCAAGCTGGATAAGCAAGATGAAAACAAGTTCAGAGTGTATGTTGACTGAAGGTCCCCAGAGCTTGGGTTCATTGTCCTGCTTCAAACACCACTACCAAAAACAATCTTCTACAGAAGCCCAACAATACACAGTTCATAGTTCTTAGCAGCACATTGCTTCCCAAGAATGAAATTGCTGCTGAAAAGCCAAGGTCCTAAAACCTAGCAGGAAACTTATCCTTAGCTGGAACTAAGGAGGCCCTCACGTACAAAGAATTCTATTTGCTATTCCAGGAGTTTGAAGAGAACAACATACCAGACTGATGAGATTTCAGTAATCTTGAACTTCTGAGATTCCTCTTGCTGCTTTCAAACCCAGACGTACTACTGCACTGCAACAATCAGATCTGGAAACAACAAAGAGGTGCATGTGGTAAATACAGAGAGCTCTGCTGAGCTGTCTGGACAGCAGCACAGACACACCAGACAGACACATCCCACTGGATTGTTTTAGCAGCTATCTCAAAGCTTAAAGTTTTGAGATATTGCTATATTATTAAAGTTCCAGCATGTTACACCCCAACTCTTTCTATATAAGCAAAAAGCCCTTAACAGAATTACTTGTTCCTGCCCTGTGGCCTCCTGGTCTTACAAACCTGGATATCCCTAACAGGTTTTAACTTCTCAGCAGCTGCCATATGGGTTTGCTTTGGGGTGGTTGTTGGGGTTTTTTGGGGGCTGTGTGATTTGGTTGCATGTTTTTTCTTTCTTTTTTTAAATCAGAACACAGAATTTTATCTTGTACAGCTGCACAACCAAGGTCTCTGGTGACACAGGGCCACATCACTTGCTTGAGCCAAAGTCCTTGAAAAAAGGATCTAGACATTTTAAAAGACACTTCCTTGATATCAGGTATCTCTTGGGTGGAGCAAAAATAAGCATACTACAGTTTCCATTGAATTCAGCATGGTCCAAGTGCATTTATACGTAATCTATAATAATCTTTGTAGGTCAAATGATGTATCTTGAATACCAGTCACAGCCCATTCAGTATTAAAAAAAAAAAAGCTGCATAGCAATTAACTGCCAAGAAAATGGAGCCAGAAGTTTGTATACTTCCAATTTTCTCAGAAATCAGACTGATTAATATAGCTGTTACAAAACGACACACTTTCACAGAAACAGGGATTACCTTTATCTGTAACCATAGCAACTTTTCAGTAGTTTGTGTTAATGTTACTCTCCCTCTGATAACTTGCCACTATCTCTTTCAAGCTATTTGTGTAAGGTTTTGAATGTGCCATCTGAAACCACGCAGTAACAAGAAGTTGAAATGTAAACTTACATTCTTCAAGCACACTCCTGTAAGTATACTATGTCATATACAATGCTGTTAATTTTTGCCATAAATTCATGATTAGTCAAGAAGTTAAATAGTAACAGATTAAAATAAATTTAACATGATTCACAGGTTTTTAAGAGAAATATTTTAAGAGTTATTCTATGAATATATACAGGAGACAGTTTTCCCACTAGTGAAGAATATCATCTTCTCTATCTGCAAAGTAACAAACACAAGGAATTATGCCACTGACATGTCAGAGACTTTGTCATTCAGTACCATAAGAAACAAAAATCCTCCCATTATACATTTATTTTGGCCTGAAAAATACAACACAGATCAAAAAAGAGCCAATCCTCTTGTTCTAAAAGTTTGTTGATAGTGAAGAACAGGTACCTCAGAACTACAAAAACAAATCAGATAAAATTCAAAGAGTAAAACTGTAAAAGCTACAGGACAGACAGGAAAGAGACAAAGGCATGAATTGACATATTTACTTCCTCAATTGTCGACTTACCATCACCCACAGTTCAGAAGAGGATTAGCACTCTGTGCAAAAAAATATTTAAGATGACACAAGACAAAAATGTTTTCTTGTAAGCAGGAGGAAGAAGAGAATAGTTTTTTTTTTTCTTTCGCTGAAGCTCACAGGGCAGCTTACCAAGCTGTGCCCTTCTCTATTCAGTGCAGAGTTTGGCACAGTTAAGATGTGAGCACAGAACCTTAGAAGAGTGAAAGAAGCTCGGCACGCTCTTTGCTCCCTGTAACTCTTATGCAATGACACCTATTATAGGACAAGCCTGGACAAACACCCGGGAATGGACTTCAGAACACAACGGTGCACTTGCAGTCAAGCCATGCAGGGGGTGAAGTAACCACCACGGTTTTGCTGAATGCCTCCACATTACACCAGCACATACGGTGGAAGCTTCTGTATTTCGTTGTTGCTGCTGTTGTTATTAGCAGTAAGGCAACTGCCCTTTTTATTTTCTAAGGTTACCCAATCCTAATATCCAGTGGAAACACGAGTGGATATTCACACCCTTTATCTATCATTCCAGGCTTTTGGCAAAGCCTAGGAGGCAAGTTGGGTTAAATCTCACGGGCTCCCTGGGCGAACACCAAAACAACAACACTAACTTTTCATGAAGCAAAACGCCAAAGTACGACAGACTTTGCAAACATTAACCCTTGGTTCAACTAGAAGAGCGGTACAACACAAAGCGCAGGCTGATTCCCTGTGAGCACCCCATCCCCACAGCGGCCAAAGCCGCCGCACCGGGCTCACCCGAGGGGCAGCGGGGCCCGCTCCGGGCCGGGGGAACCGAGGGGCGGCCAGGGCAGCCGGAACCCCGCGGGCCGTGCGGAGGGCGCGGGGCCGGGCCCGGCGGGCGCAGCGCTGGCCGAGGGCCGGCTCTGCCTCTCCCTTCCACCCAAGGACACGAGTACAAACACCTCTGCCCCGGGATGGCTCCTGCGCACGCAGCCGCCGACGGGGGTGGGGAGAGCAGGACGGAACCACCAAAAAAGGCAGAGAAAGAGCAGCGGGCCCCGCGCCCGCCGCCGCCCCGCAGCCCCTCGCCCGCTGCGTGCGGGGGTCGGGGGCACGAAGGGGGAACCCTGCCCACAGCCCCTCCGCCGCTCGCCGGGGCCGGTGGGCGGGCGGCCGCCTTCCCCCCGCCCCGTCGCGGTGCGGAGCCGCCGCCGCAGCCCCGGCCCGGCCGCCCCGGCCCCGCCGCGCTCCCTCACCTGCGCCGGGCCCGCCGCGCCCGCCGGCCCCGCTCGCTCCTCACCAAACTTTTTTTTCCCCCTTTCTCCGTGTTTCGTTGCCCTCGGAGTGACGCGGGCGGGCGCTGATTGGCGGAGACCAGGCAGGGAGGCCGCGGGGAGCGGGAGGCGGCGCCACGGCCCGCGAGTAATTATTACACGGCGACGGCGGCGACGTGAACCACGGAATGCTATTTAAAGGGACAGCGCCCACCCCGCGGCTCCCCCGCCCGCAGGGGTGACCTGAGGCGAACGCGGCGGCGGGAGGGCGAGCGGGCAGCGGCTGCTGGGCCGGCGGCGGCCGCTCTCCTGCCCCACAAATAAATTCATTTTGCTGTAAAATACCTGTGGATGCGCCCTCTGTCCTTCAGGTGAAGGGGAAGGTGTCTCCTGGCGGGGCTCCGGGCGCTGTGTGGGGTCAGTCCCTCACAGGCCTCTCGCCTTCTGTGCCCTGTGGTGCCCTTGGAGTCTCTTGTTATCTGTAATGTCACCTGCTTGTTTGTGTTTTCGTGTCTCCTTGTGGGGCTCTCAGACAATCCACTGCTGCTTCTTTACATGGACACCTCACACCTGATACATATGGATATAGCTACTTTTTTTATATATATATATTTTCCCTGCTTGTCACAGCCCATACCATGCAGGGAGGTTTTAAAGGTGAGATTTAAGGATGATGAGCGACTTGATGGGAGCAGATGGGGAGTACAGGATTCCAGGGACATGAAACAAGCCAAAAAAAAGGAGAATTTTATCTGTGGATAGGGGAGAGGAGCGGGCCAGGGCTGGAGTAGCTGCCAGGAGGTGAGCAGAGCTTGCAGAGAGTTTTGGAGGAGGGAAGGAGGAGTGTGCAGTCGTGCAGCCAGAGAAGCTGAGGTTGGGTAAAACACATTTCCATTTCAGAAAATCACAGAATAAACTGAGCTGTAATGGGCCCATCAGGATCATTGATTTCCTAGGGGTACTGTGAAGAGAGTTAAAATTTGGGGTCTTTTTTGAGCAGAGGAAAGCATTGCAAGGGACACAAAGATTTCAGCAAAGATAAAATCCAAGCAGAGGCTTCTCAAGAGCTTGCCATCACCCACATTTAGAGCTGAGTAGGTAGATCCATAAACCTGGAAAAAGCTCTAAAAGAGAAGAAAACACCTTATTTGTTTGTTTTGAATATCAGAGCTTGGATCAACACTAGAAAATGCTGGTGCAACCAGCATGGAAATGCTAGCATAGCTTTACAGCTATTTTGGTCGAGATTATTCAGTCTTGGCTGCCTTTGCTGATGCAATAGGTTTTCCAAATGCCAGGTTGCATGAGCAGAAGATGACCTGCATTGCATGTGGGTATCACAGCATTCACCACAACATTATTTGGAGCACTTTCATGGTCTTGGCAGTAATCATAAGGAGCTGCAGGGAGTGATGATTGCATTCCTCCCAGCCTCTCCATGATCATCTCTTTTTAATATGATTTTTTTAAACCTTGAATTAATTCCCTCTGGTTGTTCTCAGACTGCTTTCTTTGTGTCAAATTTCATCTCATCACTGGAAATATAAATGCAGAATAGTAGGGCACAACATCCTGAGTGTTTAGGAAATGGCCAACTGATTGTTCTGCAGCTGGGAGTGACCAGCGCAGCAGCTGGCAGAACAGCAGTGCCAATACAAGGGAAATGCAAACAGAGAACAAGACAGACACCTCCTGCCAGGACTTACTGACCAGCAACACATGGTGCAACAAATGTGAAGCTGTGGCATCAGATGTCAAGGGGGAGCAGCAGAATGTTCAAATGTGATCTTACTCAAGTTGCGGGTGACACTCGTCAGTTCTCATGTGCTGAAAAGAGAAAACTCATTGACAATAATGCTGGGGTAAATGGGGTTTTTGGGGCATTCAGAATCACTATGTTTGGTACAGTCAAAAGCTGCCACAGCTCAGAAGAGGCAAAAAATCTCTAGGAAAATAGGGAACACAAAGTTTCATGCCATTTGCATTTAAAAAAGCCAGCAGTCAAGCTGTCTCTGAGGAAGAAAATTCCCAAACAAGATGGCCAGGTTTATTCTTGGGGTAGAATAAAGCATACATTTAAAAATTACAAGTACTTGTTCCTCTGTGAATGAAAATCATAAAATCGAATAGTGTTCAGTTTTCTGATTTGAGGATCTAGGTACTGATAGGCTAAAAAACCTTGCTGAAGTCAAGTAGGAAAAGGATTAAAAGGGAAGTGCCTAATCAGAGGAATGGCTAAGGTGTTAACCACCCAGAGAAGGACATCCTTGGCTTTGAAATCAGCTGAAGAAGTCAAAAGTGATTCTGACCCAGCAGCTGAAAACAGAAGCCTGTTTTCTGTGGACCACTGCAGGGAAGGAGTTGGAGGCTATTGGTCCACCTTAAGTTGATCAGAATAGTTTTTATTTTTAAATAAAACATAGGAATATAAATATAAAATATAATATAAATTAGGAATATAATTTTTATATATATATATATATATATATATATATAGGAATATTAAAAATATATTAAAATATTTTTACAAAATAAAGGACACAGGAATGCCTGAAGTATGGGAGCCTGATATTCAGTGGGATGTTCTTCAAGGAAAAACTTCATTCTACCAGGCATGATTTTGCTTTGACAGAGAAATCCAAAAGAACTCCAAACAATTAGGCAGGAGATCCTAGTCCAAGCTGAAACAGCCAGGTGAAAGGTTTTTCCCAGCTGTGCCAGTGATTTGATGATGTATGGCTAAATGGTGAGAGGTAATCAGTGAACGTTACTTCCTCTTCTGTAACGTCACAACTGGAACGGTGTTTGTTTTCCTTGACCTGCATTACTCAGCTCTGCTTTCATATATTAATGCTCCCATCACCTTCATTCCCCAGCACAACTCATTTTCATGGTTTTAAGGACTATCTATTCATATACCTCTTTAGAAAATAGGGGCACAATTTTTCTGAAAGAGGTTTCTTCTGATTTGTACTCGCTTCTCCCAAATCCATTTAATCTATCTGCTAACACAGAGGACCTTTTCCTTTGCCTCCTTTTATGTTTGCTTCTGCTACAGTGGCTTGTTATTTCTTTTGCTAAAGCTTTAGCTATCACTAGAGGAATCCTAGTAATGTATTTATTTTGAGGTAGATTTATCTTCAGAGCTGGAAAATGGGAAGTCTCTTCTTCACCTCAGTGGGCTTTGGATCTGGTGTTAAGTGCTAACATCATTTCAGTTCTAATCTTGTTGTCTGGGGCCCAGTGTGCAGCTCCTGACTCTGCTGAGATTTTCACCATAGGTTTATTGAGAGCAGAATCAGCTCCTGTTTCCTGAGAGACAGACTGTAAAAATAGGAAAGAAATAAGCACACAGTTCTCTTGAACAAGTGAATCTTAAATTTTATTTTATTTGATTCTGAGTCTCACTGGATTTTTTTTTTTTTAATCCACAGGTACTTTGACCCCTGTTCTAAGCCTTATCTTAAGAGGATGACCTAGAGTTTCAGCTACCCAGGCCTACTGGAAATTGGGCTCAGCAGTTATTTGGCAGTGGCCTTCATGAGCAGCAATGCCAGCTTTCCATTGCAATTCCCACATTCAGAGATTTGCAGAATTAGAGTCCAAATTCTGCTTTGCAAGCCCAGAATGCCACTGACTTCAAGGGGGTTGTAGGATTTTAGCCAAGAGCAGAAATTGGCCCAGGATTTTTTCAGACTCCCTCATGCTTCTGTTTATATGATATTACCATCAAGCTCTATTAGCATGCTCCATGATGCATTTTACTTTTAAATTACATAAAGGATATTTACTGTGCTGATGCTACATAGTTTGCAAGAAAGATGCACATGTGGAAATGAAAAAACATCAATTACCATCAGGATTTCCAGCTTTCAGCATTCATTTTCCAAAACAACCCAGGGACTATTTCTCATCAAAAAAAAAGAGCAGAAATGAAAATCCAATTTCTTGGCATTTAAGTATGGCATTCTGGAGCCTTACTCATCAAGCCTGTTGTGAAAATGGTTGGAATAAAAAAGCCTGATATTGTTCAAAACTTTAATACTCTGCTTTTGTTTTCTGCATACTGGTTTCCCAATCAGAGACATGAGTCCATCCCTAAAAACAACGAAATGTTTTTCTGCCTCTCAGAGGATGGGAGAAAAAAAATCATCTGGTGAAAAACTGAGTGATCATCAGGGATAATAGGTAAAAACACAGGTAGAGGTTGAGGATTCATGGATGAAACCTGTGAGATGCCAGGCATCAGACGATGCCCACCTCAGCGTCTTTCAAAATGAGGCAGATTGTGCTGCCACGTGGGAGCTTCCTTCTAGATAGCCTTGTTTAGAAATCTGGGCTGGGGCCTTTTAAAGCCCTAATGACTCCCCACTTAAGCTTTTAATATCCATGTTAAATAGTTCATTGAGCACTCAGGAGAACAGTGTGCCATTGTGGGCTGATGAGTAACTTTAGGCAAAGTTATTTTGTACCTCTGTGTTTTTTCTTCTCGTGCATCTGCTTTGTCTGTGTAGGTAGTAAAGTCTTTCAGGGCAGGAGTGGCTCATTTTGTGCATGTCGAGTCATCAACACAGCAGCTCCAGTCTCACTGGGAGCCTCTCTGCCCATAACACAACCCTCTGAACATGTCTGTCTGTGCTTTGTATATGCTACAGGGTTTGAGCATTAATTAACTATTAATTACTATTTAAAACCTGGACTCCTAAATTCTGTAATATTAAAGTAGCCATTTACCATATGCAAAAACCCTTCCATAAATGGGTCACTGCACAGAAAGCCTAGAAGCTATCCACTGCTCTGGTGACCTGCTGCTAAATTGTGAGGACACAGGGATCAGAGATGCTCTGACAGGGTGGCTTTGGCCCCTGAAAAGTCTCCAGGTACTCAGGAAAGCTGGCCCTACCTGTTTCTGCTCTAACCCTTGAAATTTAAGGGGAGTAAAATCCCATTGTCAGGGCATCACTGCTTGGTGATCCTTTAATAGCAGCACTCTTTCAGAGACCTTTAAATCCAGCAGAATTTAATGCCTCCCTGAAGGTACTCTGAGCCAATTTTTGCTTTTGCAACTTTTTGTTGTCTCCACTGCATGTAGGAGAGCTCTTAGCTCATACCGTGTCACTGGATTCTTGGATTTAGAGGGTTGTTGTGCATGAATAAACTCAGTGCCTGGACACATCCTGGTGTCTAGAAAGTAAACAATACGCCTGAGGCACCTGTCAAAGATCTAGGTACAAATGTCCCAAATGACAAAAATGTCTGTTCAGCCATCTTCCCACCTGCTTAGGAATGCCAGGAGCACCAGACTGCTCTGGGTTTGGCACTCCTGTTTGTTCTGTTCCTGTCCATCTGACCTTGCTAGCTCAGATAGGCTATTTGTCAATGCCAGAGGAATCTGCTGCAACACCAGAGGGAGTATCTGGTTTCAGTATTCTCCAGCTCCTTGAGGGAACTACCTCATTGGGCAAGCTAAAACATCACTTTGATTGCTTAGAAGCAAACCATTTGTTCTCCAAAACTCTCCAAGCAGTTACTCACTTCTTGTAAAATTATAATGCCTGAAGTATTTTTCTAAAGCAGTCTTGGATACTTGAATGGCTGGAAATTTGCAGGTGATAAAAAGTTTTACAGCAAATCAGATCTGATCAGTGTTTCCTTAAATTAGACAATTATTCTTTTCTGTGAAAATGTCATTAGATTTTGATAGATTAAAAAAAAATAAAATGTTCTACTGGAGAAAGTTATAAAACAGGACATTTCTATAGCTTCACAGATCCTCGAAATGCATATGAGATTTTGTAGGCTTTCTTTAGGAAATTTGAAGCTGAGGCTTTTAATATACCTACAGCACATATTTTTGTCCCACAATATCCAAGTATTGTGTCACAATCAGCTTTGATCTCTCTCATTAACTCTGGCAGAGGACACAAACTGAGATGAGATTACTGCTGTCCTGGTATTCTTCCTCAGAAAAGAAGCCTTTTGGAAGATTGATAGTGGGGGCTGCCTTTGGGTAGTACCTTTCATTCAAGGGTTCTAAAGCAATCACAGAAATTCCCAAGTCTTCCTAGCCCGAAATTGGGCCCAGCCTTCCTGCTTTTCTGCAGAGTACTTTGCTCATTGTATCACATCAGGAGGGACAGAGTCTATCCATCTCACTCCTCTGAGCTGGCAGTTTCTCAGGGAGTTGCTGGTGAGCACAGATTACAGACTGTGCTCCTTGCACTCTACACAGGGAGAAGGAAGGTGCAGAGAGAGAGAGGTATCGTGTTCCTGTTCTCCTGGAACAGATGGAAATCCCTTGGGTACTATCACATTTGAGCAGCTCCTGCACAGCTGTAGCCTATGTGAGGACCACAGGGACAGAATCAGAGCAGGAGCCTGTCCATCCTCATTCCTACCCCATCCCTGATGCATTTTATAAAAGCTGTTCTGGTCCAGCTGATATACTGTTTAATTTAATTTAATATGAAGAAACTCTGATGCCTGATTCCCTGTGCAGTCTTTTCATGTCTTGTGCACTGCCCAGGAGATATTAAAAAGCCATGCTAGCAGCTTACCTGAATTACACACAGGAAATGCCCAGTGGACTTCCTGAGAAAAAGTACACACAGAACAAGATTAAGGATTTGGATCACTGACAGGTCTACAGTAGAAGAGCAATAAATCACACCTCTCTCCAGCTTCTTCTCTCTGCTTCCTCCTTACTTTTCTACTTCTCCTCTTCTAAATGAAAGCAGACATCTTACAGGCTTGCAAAATCTTCCCTCCTGTGGGAAATTGATAATTATCAGAGTTGTCACAATAAAGTTCTGCAGAAACAGAGCAGAATACCACAGTAAAGCTCTGCAGTTTTTTGGGTTTTTCCTCTTTACTTAAAAAAAATCTGCTATTTCTGAAAGTTACACCTCCTAGAATATAGTGTCCTGCATGTGAAATAGAGTGGGTTTCTGTGCAGTTCAGCCATGAAAATGTTGGGGTGTGTAAGATATGTAATGTCTTTGTAAATACTGCTTCATAAAATCTGCTTTATACTCTGCTTTGTTCTTTTATCTAGCATTCTCTAGAATGTGCTTGGGAATATTTATTTTCCCTAATTTCTTTTCCTTAACTGAGGCAAAATATTTACACACCCCACACCAAGCTCACAAAGAACAGTGCTTAGTACTGCTGCTGTTCATTTGCTGGCATACCTAATTACACAGTTGAAAATGTCAACACTAAGTTATGTCTGCATGGCAGGCGTTGATGTGGCTGTTATGTAACACAGGTGTGCTCAATCCACCTTCAGCTGAAGCTCAGCAGCCATCACTGAGCCACATGGGCTGTAAAACCAATCAGAATAATATTCATTGAGTCACAAGCCCATGCCAAACTCAGGATTTAACAACTTGAATAATTGGTAATCAAGGCAGCTTGGGAAGACCTCGTGCAGTGTGTACCCACACAGCAGTGATCACAGCCCTGTCACAACTCACTGATGAGCTCTGGTGGGCCTGGCTACTGAAGGATATGGTTCATCACCCCCCCCTCTGTCTGCATCTTCCTGTCCCTGAGATGTTTCCACCTCTCTGGAAGAACAGGAGAAGGGGATGGTGACCTAGTTTATAGTTCAGCTGGCCCAGATCACACCTTAGAGCAGTGATGGAGATGCATTGGTGCTAAAATGCTGGGTTATGAACTGTGGTACAGACACACAACCTTTTGTGCTATTTTATGCTACAGTAGCGTATGCAGAAAGTACCATGAGAAGCACTGATCATATACAAAACTACTGCTAGTGTGCTGGAGCCGGGCTGCCACAGCCCAAACTACCAGAAGAGAGGAACTGGGAGAAACACAAACCATAAACCAGAAAGCTTTCTACTAGCAAAACATCCCAGTTCAAGATCAATATTAAGTCTTGAGTAAATCAGAGAAAACAGTGCAATAAGTAAAACAGGGGAAATAATAAACATTAAAGACGTATGTATTAGACCATACCTAACAAAAAGTTACTTCTCTGGCATGTTTTTCTGACTGCTACAACAGATCCTCTGAATGATCTTGGGCAAAATGCATCATTTCTCTCTGCAATGATGTGAGATAATACTTCCCTACCTTATACTCCATCATATTGTGAGCTGCTGAGTGTCAAAGAGTGTAGGATTATATCAGGTCCTGAAGAAGGGAGAGGACCTGCAGAAGGCAGATAAAGATGGGATGAGTTTAGCTGTCCTTGAAGTCATCAGGAGCTGAGGCACAGCAGATGCTCAGGTGTTCTCTGGCTCAGTCTCTTGCTAAGGAAGCATTTCTCTAACCAGCATCCAGGGAGCAGATCTAGCATAGGGGCAAGTATTTACACTCACAATACTCAGGGACAACTTGATTAACTGCCAAAAAATGTGGTTTGATTTCTCATTGGCACCACTTGTAGAAAATATTTCAGTGGAGTCAGGACTGATTCTTCCCTTGAAGAATGAGCTTCTGGTAAGGTCTTGAGGAATGTCTGAGTAAAGGTCTGGAGGAAGGCAGTGGTCTGTGTTAGCAGGTGACTGAGCATGTTACCCCTCAGTGTTACATATTTTAAATTGAGTAAGAGACAATAGGAAACACTGTGGAGTGCCAGTATTTGAGAAGACATCACTACTTGGAATTCAGTTCATCTGATGGATAAATCAATTGATTTTTTTATGACTGGGTTTTATACCCTTCAAAATGATTTCCACCTGTTATCAGTGTAATAACAATGGGGAGATGAGAACAAACCTCATTGACCATTTCTGTGCACAGATCAGAATCTTCTACCTGCAGCTCATTCCCTTCCTTATCTGTTACCTTTATTGCCTTATGCATAGCAAAGAATTAACACTTCAGCTTTGAAGCATTCTTTGTCATGCCCAGGTAATTAAAAGAATGCCACTGCACCTGGTAGAGCTATAAAAATGTCCTTCTAAAAATGTCCACAATGTTTAATATTTTATTAATTGCTGTGTTGTTGTGTTTTGCCTGCAGTAAATCAACCTCATGGAAGTGAGACACTACCACTCAAGGCTAACAAACATTTCCCTGCAATATCTTATGTTAGCACCATGCTTTTTTATCCTTCCATTTTGAATCCTTGTTTTTAACAATCTTTCTGTGTTCAAGCAAGAAAAAAACCCAACAAACCAACATCTCTATTGCTGCAAGCACGGAACCAGAACAAGTAGTGTTGAAGCTTTCATTCCTTTTCCATATGTGGAAAAGACTGTCTGAAAACTTTATTTCCCAGCGAAATATAGTCCACATTTGCATCATGTAATGCCTGAATATTGCCTTGCATATGACACTATCTCCTGTTAGTGACTGAGGAACTAGAAGACAAAAATAAAGTTTAACATATACAAAAAAACATTGATAGCTTTATTAGAGAAGGTGTAGGAAGCCACACCACACAAGCACAGACACAGCTATTAAAGGAAAATTAGAAAGTTGTCAACACAAGCTGTTCAAAAATAATTTCAGGTCCCCCAAAACATGTGATTTGCTTGCAGAATTTCAGTCTTCAAAATACAGGTTCAGTGTGTTCTTATTTGTCTTCACTTTCTGATATGCCAGGGAATCACACGGAACCAGCTTTATTTTACAAATGTGGAGGCTGAAAACTTTTTGCTTAATAAAGATTCCTGAGTGCTACCATGACATCAGAATCTGGTGATTTCAGAAAATCATCACCAAGGACACATGGCCAGCAGTAGTGTGCCACACCAGTCTATTTTTCTAGCGAAAAACCTCATGTTCCACACGTGCAGCTCCCTGTGGGCATGCTATGTTTTTCCATTCAGCAACCTCATCTCAGAGAAAAAGGGCTCTGTCTAGGATTTGCAGGCACCTTGTTGCACAAAGGGAAGCAAAAGCAAGTTGAGACATCATGAAATTCCCATTATGTTCTGTGTATGCTCAGATGGCCCATAAATGCATATGCTGCATGTGTGACTCATGCCCAGATCCTGGATGTGAGTACAGGAGCCTCAGGTGCAGTGTGCCAACAGTGCAATAAGCAACATGACTAACATCTATCATATGTATTTTGTTTTCTCACCCTTTTTTTCAAGGGAAGGCCACATGTTTTGGCAGGTACTATTAGTGCTGCCTTTGCATCCAAGAACACAAGCTCTAGGAATTGCATCTCGCACAGGAAGCAGAAGGTGGTGATGTTTGTGATGGCCATGAGCCCCTGAGGGAGCTCATTATTTACCTTGGGATGTGGCCTGTCCCCTGCCCGGACAAGCTGCATTGTCATTTTGCAGAATCCTGTTTACCTGAGGGATGAAGCTGCCAGTGAGGTGTTTAGTCTGAAGGTCTGGAGGATGGGGTGTGCCCAGTCCAGCCACTTGACCATCTTGTGCAATGTCCAAAATTTACAATGTGAAAAAGAAAATTAGTCTTCTTGCCTTTATTTTTTTTCCTTATTTTTCTCTTGTAAATTCAGATGGTAGTAAATTGGACTGTAAATTCAGTCCCAGTATATGGAGCTGTGTGAAGATGGAGCTGAAATGAATATACCTAACCCAAACCAAGTCAGTGGCACATAGGCTGAAAGTGCAGAATGTGAGGACTGTCCACCCCACTGGGACTTTCATCCAAAGCCAACTCATTGACAGAATACTAAAAAGCCTCAGCAAAAGCAATCTACACTTTCTCAAGTGGTTTGACATATCTGAACACTGAGACATTGTGCTGAAGTGAAAAGCAAAACCCTCACTCTAGATGGAAAGGAAAAAATCACGCATTTAGTTTCAGTGCTTACATTCAGTGTCAGCACCAGTGCTGCCAATTCTGGCCATTAGGTCTTATAATATTTCCTGTTTCTCTGAAAACAAGAATTATGTGTAGCTCATGACAAATGAATACCCTGAATTTCTAGCCTTAATGGTTGCAAATCAGGGCTTGAAGGCTTGAAATGGGTGTGCCTCATGACCTTAGAAAACCCAAAGGCAAATTGAAAATATGCATTTTATTGTTTTTGATCAACCTTGTGATTTTAAGTCATGCATGGCTTTTCTTGGAGGCCTGACTCACAGCTTTTAAATGTTCATGTGGGGCTGTAGTGCCCCACAAAGAATGAAATGCAGCTCCAAGAGCTGTGCCCAGGTGACAGGTATGGGGCAACCAAGCAAACATGTAACATTTGTATTTTGTAGCAATTTTTGTTTCATGTTGGCAGACATGAGGAGCCTGACACTCTGGTGCTTTATGGGAAGAGAGAAAGCTGAGGAAGAGCAAGGCAAGGAGAAGAAGGATTCCTGCCTAACTTGAAAAATAGGTGAAAGTTCATCTTGAGAAAAATAAATAAGCTAAATCTAACTGCTACCGCTGTTTTAATGAAGGGTTGGGAAGGCAGAGAGGGAAGGCATGTGTTTATATCTCAGAGCTGGTAATGAGGGATTCCTCTTCTCACCCTGCTCCTGCCACTGACTCATCCAGCAGGGTTAGGCCTATGTCAGTTCTCACTTCAGAGCAGATTAGACTTAACCATAGACCCAGCTGCTGTCTCATTTACTTGTGTTGAGTAACACTTTCTTCCCTGGTGACAATTGCTGTGGTGGGAGAGCTCCACAGTTCACAGGAGGTGAGTGACAGAGCCCCATTGTAGTCACAGAAAAGAAGCATCTGCAGCACAGAGGGCTCTAAGGCTTGATTAGCTCCATGCCTAAAGCACCTCTTCATTAGTTGAGCCATATGTAGATACCAGGATCTGCTCCTCTCCAGGCTTTTCTTTAGGAACAAAAAATGAGGAGCAAAGGAAGATCTGCAGGCTGAGGTTTGCTCAGTTGGCAAGGCCACCCACTCAGCCAAGCAGCTGGCAAGGTGGCAAAGGATCACCTTGCCCCTCTTCCATCCTTACCTGAGTCAGCCACAGAAAGGCTGAAGATCACAATATATTCATGGACATGCTTCTAAAATTCATGGTGCTTAAGGCTGAGATGCTCTGCTGCAGGACTGAGCTGAGTTTGGAGCCCAGAGCAAGTCTTCTTTGTAGAATTTCTGCCAGCCTTGAGTGCACACAGCATACCAACACCCAAACCTGATGCCAACCACTGACAGCACAAGGGCACAACTCAGGAAACCCTTCCAGGGAGGTCTTCTTCATGTCAAACAAATGCTTGGTTGAAAAATAAAGTTTTAAAAAGCAGCCAGTTGTATGGATCCCCAGGCATCATTTGCTCAGGAATTATTTGGTTAATAGTGATGAGTATTATCAACATTTATATAAACATAAATAATTCAGAGGTGCCAATGAATATGATATATCTGTTTCTGTCAGTGCTGGCACCCTGCCATGCCTCATTCCCCCTTTGTAGAGTGGCTGCAGATTTGTTAATAAGCACTAGATTAGAAACTAGATCTCATAGAAATGACATTGGCTTGAATTGTATTATTATGGCTATATTGCTTAAATATCAAAGTGAAGTTTTCTGTGGATTGCTCCTCAGATTTCAAATAAACCATGTGTGTTGTGAATTTAGGTCAATGCCTCATTTGTGCTCTTATGGAGGCCTGTACATTTTTACTTTTGATTTGAAGTGTTTCACATCTCCCTTTGCTGTTTTCTCATAGAAAACATTGTCCTGCTGCAGTTCCCAACTCTTACATTATCTGCTTCAACTTTATTGTTATTAGTCAGGTACACAAAAATCAGACTGAACAGCTAAAAATTGCGCAGTATTAAATGCACACTTCAGGACTTAGAGCTGCTGTAAACCCCTCACCTTTACACTTACTGGCTCAAGAACTTCATGTTCCCCTTTTATTACACACCCATAACTTACAGCAATATAAAAGCACATCATTGTTTTCCCTGATAATTTTGCCACCCTGCTATTTTATGGGCCAGTCGGTTGGTCTGCAAGCACATGCACCAGGTACTGTATCTTGATGAAGGAATTGGATTATTGCCAAATAAAACAGCCAGACTATTATTATGGCTAATACACTAGAAGAGTTTGCAATGGGTTTTTAAATAATCCTCTACGTTTATATTGCACTATTCATCATGAAGAGATCCAAGGTGCTGTGGAAGGCTGATAATGGGTCTTTTTGCTCATTGCTAGAACGTGACTGCTGCTAAGCTGGAGAAATAGTGACCATCCTGCACAAACAGCATTAGCAGGCACAGCAGGTA